AGCTAAGTGGGTTTTCTTTTTGAAGTCTGCCCCCATCTTATCACCCATCTCCCTAGCACTCATTTGGAGAAATCAAGCCGTTATCAGTTGCTTAGGAAACGCACAGCTGTACCTGGAACCTGATAGTGTTGTGTTTTATATATTAGCTTCCTCCCCCCCCCCCCCCATCCCGTATCCCTCTGAGGGATTAAAGTTGGCGTTCTAACTCTGGATACTGGAGCAAGTCCTTTAAAAGCTGCAGAGCTGTTGATTGGCAGCATTAAAGTACATCTTGGAGTCTGGGTTTTCAGAACTGGAAAGAACCTTAAGTAAAATCGAGTTCATCCCTCTCATTTCACAGAAGACACCGGACCTAGCATAGTGTTTATCAAGATTCTGCACCTTTCATAGCTACGCGTTAGGGCTGCAGACACTTTTTGCCATTGAACTTGCCGTTGTGCCGGAACGGCGTTGCCAGTTCTTCCTGCTTCGGGCAGTGTATCCACCAGAAGTGATTATGCTTGGCTTGCAGGACTTGTCAGGTTGATTAAGAAGTTAAGCCTGGCCATTGTGATGGCTCTAGAGTGTAGTAGGTGTGGCACTGTTTCTGGGTGAGTTGTGCATAGTGTATTTTGAAGCCCAAACCAATTCAGCCTTATACTCACAGGGATAGGCATTGACATTGTATATTTTGGTTTTTGAGACTGGCATATAGTCCAGGCTAGTGTAGGGTTGTTGCTCGATCTTACATCAGGTTCCTGGGTGCAGAAACTGACTACAAGTGTATGCCACGGTGTCTGGCCACTGTTTCCTTTTAGCAACCTAGGTATGAGTTAAGAGTAAGCAGTGTGATCCACTGCTTACATGAAATAGTTTAGATGGCTGGGATGCAATTAGTAAGCAGTGAAACATCAGGGGGTGGTCATCAAGAAGAGCCCCCTACACACACACACACACTCGACGTTTGTGCTCAGTACTATAGTGTCTTTATTAGCTGTAAGAGTTTCCACTCAGGTTCTCGTCAATGTTTGTTTAGTTTTATGTGCTAACTATTGCCAGCTGTTTTCATAGGTGAATTCCCTAAAATGGTGGTAGTGTCTCCGAGTTACAAATAAGTTTTAAACCTGCAGAAGTGCACCAGAGAGATATGCCTGACTAGTGACAGTCATTTGCAGAGGAATGTAAACCTAGATCACTTATCTTCCAAGTCTAGTCAGTGCTCTTTTGAATTATATCTTGCTCCCACTTCAAGCCGGGAAGGGGATGAGAGAATCGCCTGTGGCTGATTTATTGGCGCCTGTGGTTGCCCAGAGAGGCCAAGCAGGACTTTCAGCTGCCCTCTATGCCTTACAGAGTGGAGCTATGTGCTTCCACCCTATCTCCTGAGGGGAATGCAAAGGAGCCAGGCTGTCTAGCTGGGGAGGAGGGGCCCAAGTGGCTTGGCAGTAAAATATCCCGACCATGGCTGTGCTGCTGGGAAGCCTTGCATAGTGCTCTCCCCCCAACCCCCACTGGCCCACAGTGACTTATTCCTTGCTAGCTGTAGGTGGTGTTTGACCAATTTGTCCATTTTTGTAGTAACAGCTAGACAAGAGTTAGAGGGCTGTAGGATTGTAGATTCCCCTTAGAAAAGCAGTTCAGGTGTTCTTATCTTGATGAATTGTAAAGTAGCTCTACACCACTTCCTGTGCCCCTTTTCTGCTCGTTTATTTCACAGAGCATGTGAACCTGAGTCCTTTGAGAGAAGGCTGAAAAGAGAAAGCTGCTCCAGTTGATAGTTACTGGTGTCGGCTATGGACTCCGATCCTTTGAACTCTAAACCATCTGGTAGTTTGGTTCCTCAATCAATTGTCTTTCCTCTAGGCTGGCCAGATGGTTTGTCAGATAAGGGCTCTTACTGTACTTGTAGACACCGAGGTTTGGTTCCCAGCACCCATGTGGTGGCTCTAGTCCCAGGGGCTATGATGCCTTCTAGTTTCCACAGGCTCCCGCCCGCATCTGGTGCACCTGAATTCATGCAAGTACGCACATAAAATATGTTTGCCGGGATTGGTGTATATAAAAAGGTGATGTGCATCCTTTTAATCCCAGCACTTGGAAGATAGAGGCAGGTGGATCTCTGTGAGTTGGAGGTCATCCTGGTCTATATAGTGAGTGCCAGGATAGTCAGAGCTACAAAATAGGCCCTGTCTCACACACACACACACACACACACACACACACACACACACACACACACACACACACACACACCCGCCCAAATGGAGGAAAAAGTATTTAAAGCTAATGTGAGGTTTGATTGCTAGTTGATTTTATTTATCCTTGGGGCTCAGACCTGTCATCTTGTGAATGCCAGTCAAGGCCTCTACTGCTGAGCTATATCATATCCAAAACCCTTTGTTAGGCTTCTGTTTTCGTTTTATTAAGCCTTTTTCCTCTCTCAAAAAGAAGTGGTTAATCCGGGCAGTGGTGGCACACGCCTTTAATCCCAGCACTCTAGAGGCAGAGGCAGGCAGACCTTTGTGAGCTCAAGGCCAGCCTGGTCTACAGATTGACCAGCCAAGCAGAGAAACCCTGTCTTGAGAAAAAACAAAACCCTTATTTAGGAAAAACATTTTTATATTAAGTTTTTAAAAATTTTCTAGTTCATTGTTTTCCTAGTTACAGATCAAACCGATGTTTTATTTTGAAACACCAGGCTTTTTAGGCAGAGGATCTTATCAGCCTATGCGGGCCCATGTGGGTAGTGTGTTCATGGAGTTGTAATTCTGTGACAGGAAATGCTGATATAGTTAACGTACAGAGGCCGTAGTCTCTCTTGCCCACTGTATTCTAGGTCTGTTCTAGTTTCGTCTTTTTTACTTCC